ACAGCCCACCTTCAGCACAGGGGTTGCGCAGGAGATTCCTGCGGAGGCTGAACAGGAAGTAGAAGATCTTCCAGTCGGACACAGGTTGGTCCCAGTCCTCTGTGATGAAGCCATCACGCAAGCTCTTATGCTTCCAGAGGGTCGCAGAGTCGATGAGATCACGCCAGAGGCTGCAGACTGGGCGGCAGTTCTGCAGCAGCTCCCGGGCAGGCACGTGGGTGAACAGCTCCAGCAGGGTGTTCTCTGGCAGCTGGTTGATGCTGACCCCGGCCATGGCTGTGGTGGGGACAGGTGCATGCACAGGCCTGCAGGTGGCAACAATGAGACTCATCATACTTCCCTTCCAGCCTCTTCCCATTTTTTACAGAAGAAAACGACTTCTTGGTTACAATAGCTCTGGCCTGGAAGCCAAAGTATGGTCTTTGGCCCCACTCTTCGTCCCACAGTTTCCGCCATCCATTGACCTAGGGAGGAGCCTTACTCTGCGGGGCGGGACGGGGGTGAGGGCCAGGGCACTTTGTGGAGGACAGATCGACATCAGCTCTAAAAGGTACTTCGCACACTGATGGGGCTTCCCACGTATCAGGCCTTTCTCCTCCGACCCTCCCAACAACCCTTCAAGGTACTGCTGTTATCTGCGTTCGGGGGAGCGGCGGCGGAGACAAAGTCCCTGGCCTGAGTGGGGACCCGGAACCCCGCGAGGCACGTAACCCGGCAGGACCTACTAGCCCGCGCCTCCCGCCCAACTGCGCGCTGCCCGGAACTCCGCCCAGCGCCGCCCGGAATCCCACCCCTCCCGAGACCGCATCCACGGGCTCAGCGACCGCCCGGGCGTCCGCAACCCGCCGGGGACCCACGACCCTTACCTCGTCTGCAGTTCCTCGCTTCCTGGCTAGGCCGCGACCTGGGCGTGGAGGGGTCGCCCGAGCGGGACCTGAGCTGGAATAGGCCTGGACTCCACGGCCTCGGGTAGCTGACCGCTTTAGAGCCGCGCTCGGGCTCGCCCCGAGAACCAACCCGCTACGCCCACAACAGGCCCAACCCCTCGGGCCGGCTGGCCACGCCCACGGCCTCGAAGGGCCGGGAAGCAGGACCTCCGCGGGGAAAGACTACAAGGGGATTCTAGGGGTCTCCGAGTCGAGTACGCGCGACCGGACGCCCAGACCTCAGCCTACGCTTCCTATCTGCAGTCTTCCTCTCCTGGTGCGGAGGGTCTCAGCATGGACTAATTTAGGTCTTCCTCTAAGGCTAGGCCCTCCAGCGCCTATCCGCGCACGCCCCACCCTTGCCTTTCACCTGGTTTTTCTGTAAGTAGTGGCGGGGGTGGGGCCAGTTCCCCACTGCGCCAGGGCTTCTCCCTCGGGCTGGGGGCGAGACTTGAAATTCGGGCCTTGAACCTGGCATCTCTCTCCTTGAGATGTGACTCCAGGCAGCCTCAATTAACTCCGAAGTCAAAATTCACTCAAAAATTAACTCAGAAGTAAAACTCTTTGGGTTGTAGCTAGAATTAAATTAGCTCATAAATGCTTGCCTTCACTCAACAAATACTTATCAAAGACTTTGAACAGTCACATGTGGTTGTGCATGTTACTGTACAAAGGCATTTAGCCCAGCCCGCGTAGGTAACCCCAGCCAGGGCTGCATCTTCTTCAAGGAAAGGCATGCCAAAGGGCTATACAGCTGGTGTGGTCCCAGCACTGACCCCAGGCAAGGCCCTAATCTACCTACCTATGAAGTGAGATAATTAACATTTAATAAGTATTTCTGCGTGCCAGGCAGTATTCTAGATATTTGGACTTTATTCAGTGTCAGTAAAGCTCCTGGCACAGAGGGAGTGCTCACCAGTAAGCAGTGACTTGGATGCACCACTGACCCATAGAGGGGGAGGGTATCCACACAGCCCTTTCCCCTAACTTTGGTCAGGTCTCCTCATGTTTGGGCAGCTCCTTAAAGGGTCTGTCCCATGACTCCTGTTCTGTGATCTGAAATGCCAACCCCTTTCTGTGCTGTGGGAGGAAGCCACAAACTGCACTTTGACCAGGGCCTCCTATCAGGTGTGCCTTTCCTCCCAGAAACCACAGGACACCGTTTGGGCTGAGAACACTTTTTATTTGGCTGCATGCAGCAGGGGTGAGATCAGAACGGCACTGCTGTCCTCCCAGCAGGAGTGGGCAGCAGGAGCGTGGTGGGGTGGGGAGGTCCTGGGAATGGCAGTTCCAAGGGTGGGGAACGGGCCTGGAACAGTCTCCAGGACACAGGGAGCCTGGCCAGGGTATAGAGATGGACAAGTGGTCCTTGGCAAACTGCCACCCACTCAACCAGGGCTCACTCCTTTCAGAGCTCAATCCTGCCCCCTACCTGCCCTAGGTTACCCTGAGCAGGATTCTGGGGTCTCCTGGAGATCCCAGCCTCTCCCGGTACCCAGCTGGCTTCTGGGGCATCACTGACATGAGGGTAGTCTAAACCCAGCCTGGACCCCACCCTACCCTGGGGCAGTCCATCTCAAACTAGGCTAAGCCTCTGGGCCAGAGTCAGCTCTCCAGAGCAAGATGGCTTTGGAGCAGCAACATGGAGTTGAGGATGGGGCCACAGGGCGCTCCCTCTATTTCTCAAATCTGTCTGAGTGACATGGTCACCTCCCAGCAGCAGCAGCACTATCCAGGGCAATCATGAGCCTTCCCGATTCCCTGCCTGCCCCTGCTCTGAGGACCTCCAGAGAAAGGTCCTGGGAGAGGAAGGTAGAGACACAGATGTAGGTTGGCATCTGATGCTTGGAGACCCACTCTCCAAGGAGCCTGGGGGAAGACCCTGCATCTCTAGCCTCAAGGGCCCTGTCTGTTAGGAGGGCCCACATAGGCCTTCCGGCCATCATCTTGGCTGAGACCTCACATGGGTGGAGAGCTGGACCCCCAAAGGAGGCAAGGGCTGCGCCAACTAAGAGGCACAAGTGAACTAGGGAGCTTGGGGAAGCCTAGCCCCCACCTCCCCTTCCCAAGCCCAGCCTATCTCTGAAAGCAGTTTACCAGTCGGGGTTCGGCAGGTGGGGGCTCGGGGCATCAGGGCAGTGGGGGCCCGATGGTGATGCTGCTGTTGGTGACCCTCGGGCCATACCAGCCAGCCCAGTAGTGAGTGTCCACACCACCGTGCTGAAACCAGATGTAGCGGACGCCAGGTGGGTAGTTGGAGAATGTGTGGGAGACCTGAGGGACAGGCAGAGGGAGGGAGAAAGGTCAGGGGAGCTGACCCTAAGGGTGGCACTGCCTGAGGGGGCAAGGAAGAGATGAAGGGGTGGAGCTTTTAGTGCTGAAGAACAGTGGACTAGGAGTCAGCAGAATGGGAGCCTGAGCCCTGGCTCTGTGGTTCTAGGCTTCACTTTTCTCATCAGTAAAATGGAGCCAAGTCTGGCCACATCCAGTCTGCAGGATATCATGCAGAACAAAGGAGCTGAAGGAAACCTTGTAAACTGCCAAAGGATGTCCAGACCTGCCATGGCAATACGGCTGGCACTGGCCAATGTTGCCACTCAAATGAGTTAACATTGAAAATTCAGTTCCTCGGTCCCACTACAGAACTGGTTCTGACAAAATACTCCATAGTTACAGGTGGCTACTGGCTACCATGTTGGTCAACACAGATACAGGACATTCCTATCACTACTGGTCTAGATCAGGGGTTGGCAAACTTCAGCCAGAGGGCTACCTGCCAATTTTTGTAAATAAAATTTGGCAAACCTCATTTACATATTGTCTAAGTATCCTTTAATGCTGCAACAGCAGAGCTGAGTAACTGGCACAGAGATTATATGGCCTGCAAAGCCTAAAATATTTATATCTGGTCCTTTAAGAACATGTTGACCCCTGGTCTAGGTGATACTAATAATCAATATTAGTCATCAGTAGTAGTCAGCCTTTTTGGACATTTCTTTGGGCCAAGTTTTACAAGTATCATCTCACTGACTTCTGGGAGAGCTTGCTCTATGAGCTCTGAAGATGAAGCAACAGAAGCTCAGAACAACTGAAGCCCAAGTAAGAAGATGCAGAGCTAGGATTTAAACCCAGGCCTGCCTAACTGCAGTCTTAGCCTTAGCGGAAGTCCACGTCTCTGTCCTCTGCTCACACACCTCCCTCCATTTGGCATCACTCTTCTGCTGGATCATTGCTGGGTCTGCCTGGAAGGTCCCCAGAGGTGCATGTGCTGATGATAGGAGCTGAACGCTCAGCTGGTACTTGGACCCGCAGTCCGGCCTGGCTGCAAACCTGTAGGCAGAGGGACGGCCCATCAGGACCTTGGTGGTGGGGGGCAGGGTGAAGGTGGGGTGCCGAAGTGGCAGGGCTCTCCACCTGCCCAAGACTCTCGTCCCAGACACTCACCAGTCCTTGATCTCGATTTCCGGCCGTGTGGTGTCCATCAGCTCCTCCCAATACCCTTCGGCCTTGAGGTCTACCACCTGGGACTTGAGGCAAGTGCTGGATGGGGGTGGAAGGATGGGAGGGGCTGAGGCTTACCACTAGGGCATGGGGGGCCATGACTGCCTCTCTCTGGGACAGGAGAGACCCCAGGGGGAGGTGACTTGGGCTGCCCCCCACCCCGAGACTCCCAGACTTGAATCTTACTAATAAGAAGTCACGAAGTATTTCTTGACCTGGCCATTGGGGAATTCCTTCCTCTGGTCTCCAGAGAGATCTTCTACCTTCCACTCATCACCACCATTCACATCCAGGCTCCAGAACTCAAACCCCTCTGGTGGGAAAGCAGAGTTCACATAGAAAGGGAGCCCCTTGGTGGTCACTTCTCTCAAGTGCCCCCCTTACCTCTGTTCGTCTCCGTGGATCTCCCCAGCTGCACTTGAGCCATGTGCTATGGGACACTGCAGATCATCAGTGCTCACCTCCTATTAGTGCTTCCTGTATGCCAGGCCCACCTGTCAAGTTTGTCATGCTGTGGTGGCATGCATGTTGCTGTGATGCTAGAAGCTATGCCACTGATACTTCAAATACCAGCAGGGTCACCTATGGTGGGCAGGTTTCAGCAGAGCTTCTAGACTAAGATTAGGAAGAAGGACATAGCCAGATCCACTTCTTAAAAAACTGGCCACTGAAACCTTATGAATAGCAGTAAAACTTTATCTGATATAGTGCCAGAAGATGAGCCCCTCAGGTTGGAAGGCACTCAAAATACAACTGGGGAAGAGCTACCTCCTCAGAGTAGAGTTGATGTTACTGATGTGGACAGACTAAATCTTTGGGAACCTTCATTTGTTGAGGTGGCACAACTCAAAATGAGAAGAAATAGCTGCAGATGTCCATTAATAATCATAACATGGAATGTATGACATAAGAATTTGGGAAAATTGGAAGTTGTCAAAAAATGAAATGGAACGCATATAGATATGCTAGGCATTAATGAGCTGAAATGGACTGGTATTGGCCATCCTGAATTGGACAAGCACATGGTCTACTATGCTGGGAATGACAAAATTGAAGAGGAATCGTGTGGCATTCATCATCAAAAAGAACATTTTGAGATTTAGGCTGAAGTAAAATGCTGTCAGTGATAATATCCACAAGCCTATAAGGAAGGCCAGGTACTACAAGTACTATTTAAATTTACCCAACAACCATTAAAGCCAAAGATGAAGAAACTGAAGATTTTTTACCAACTTCTGCAGTCTGAAAATGACCACACACGCAAACAAGATTCACTGGTAATTAGTGGTGATTGGAATGGGAAAGATGGAGACAAAGCAGCAGCATTGGTGGTTGGAAAATATGGCCTTGGTGATAGAAATGATGCTGACATCACAAGACAGAATTTTGCAAAACCAACGACTTGCTCATTGAAAATATCTCTTTCAAAAAAAAAAAAAAAGTGGGGACCAGGTTTGCTGGCCCAATCAAGCCTGGTGGAACCACTGAGATAATGGCCCCTAGCTGCCCTTCAGGTCTGGAATTGAACCCACACCTGTGGCTTCCAGCCAAACAATAGACAGGCATAGGAGTTGAACATTTACCTGGGGTAGATACACTCCTTGGAGAGAATAATCATGGGAGAAAGAAGGGCTGCTAAGGCACAGGGAGACAGCTCAGGGTAGGAGTGCATGGAGGAATGAACACAGGGAAGAGGTAACTATTGGGAGGAAGTGGGAGGGGAGATACTGCATTGTGCTAAATTATGTCAATGTCATGAGACAAAATGTATGTGAACTGCTGCATGGAAAGTGTATTTACTCTCTAAATTTTCACCCAAATCACACACACGCACACAAAAGATACAAAGGAAGCAAAAAACAAATAATCTCTTTCAAGAACATAAATGGTGACTATACACCTGGATCATGTCAGATGGAACATACAGGAATCAAACTGACTCCATCAGTGGAACGAGGTGATGGAGAAGCTCAATATCATCAGTCAGAACAAGGCCAGAGGCTGACTGTGGAACAGACCATCAGTTGCTTATATTCAAGTTTAAATTGAAGCTAAAGAAAATTAAAAGAAATTTATGAGAGCCAAAATACAACCTTGAGTATATCCCATTGGAATTTAGAGACCATTTGATGAACAGATTTGACACACTGAACAACAATGACTGAAGACCAGGCGAGTTGTAGGATGACATCAAGGACATCACACATGAAGAAAGCAAAAGGTCATTAAAAAAATAGAAAAGACCAAAATGGATGTCTGAAGAGACTCTGAAACTTGAAAAGAGAGTAGTTAAAGCAAATGGAAGAAACAATGAAGAGCTGAACAGAAGATTTCAAAAGGTGGCTAAAGAAGAAAAAGTAATAAAATAAAATATGCAAAGACTAGGAGTTAGAAAACCAAAAGGGAAAAACACACTTGGGATTTTTCAAGCTGAAATAATGAAGAAAAAAAATTTAAGCCTCGAGTTGCAATACTGAAGGAGTCTATGGACAAAATATTGAATGATGCAGGAAGCATCAAAAGAAGATGGAAGTAATACAGAGTCACTGTACAAAAGAATTGGCCGACTTTCAACTATTTCAGGAGTTTGCATGTGATCAAGAACCGATGGTACTGAATGAAGGAGTCCAAGTTGCACTGAAGGAACTGACAAAAAACAAGGCTCCAGGAACTGACGCCATCTACTGAGATGTTTCAACAAACAGGTCAAAGTTGAAAGTGCTCACTCGTCTATGCCAATAAATTTGGAAGAAAGCTACTTGGCCAACCAAATGGAAAAGAGCCATATTTGTGCCCATTCCAAAGAAAGGTGATGCAACAAAATGAGGAAATTATCAAACAATATCATTAATATCACATACAAGTAAAATTTTGCTGAAAATAATTACAAAACGATTGCAACAGTACAACAGGGAACTGCCAGAAATTCAAGCCAGATTCAGAAGAGGATGTGAAATGAGGGCTATCACTGCTGATGTCAGATGGGTCTTGGCTGAAAGCAGAAAAATGTTTACTTGTGTTTTATTGACTATGCAAAGGCATTTGTGTGGATCATAACACATTATGGATAACATTGTGAGGAACGGGAATTCCAGAACACTTACCAGGAACCTGTATATAGACCAAGAAGCAGTCATTCAAACAGAATAAAGGGATACTGCGTGGTTTAAACTCAGGAAAGATATGTGTTAGGGTTGTAACTTTTCACCATACTTATTTAATCTGTATGCTGAGCAAATAATTTGAGAAGCTGAACTATATGAAGAAGAACACGGCATTAGGATTGGAGGAAGACTCATTAACAACCTGCAATACACAGATGACACAACCTTCCTTGCTGACGGTGAAGACGATTTAAAGTGCTTACTGATGAAGAACAAACATTACTGTATGGATTACACCTAAACATTAAAAAAAACCAAAAATCCTCACAACTGGGCCAATAAGCAATGTCATAAGCAGAAAAAAGACTGAAATTGTCAAGGACTGCATTTGATGTGGATCCTCAATCAATGCCCATGGAAGCAGCAGTCAAGAAATGACAAGAGTATTTCATTGGGTAAATCTGCTGCAAAAGACCTCTTTAAGATGTTAAGAGCAAAGACATCACTTTGAAGACTAAGGTGCACCTAACCATTGTCTTTTCATTAGTCTCATATATATGTCAAAGCTGAACAATGAGTAAGGAAGATGGCAGAAGTATTGATGCACTTGAATTGTGGTATTGGCAAAGAACACTGAATAAACCATGGACCGCCAGAAGAATGAACAAATCTGTCTTGGAGGAAGAGCCGGAATGCTCCTTAGAAGCGAAAATGACCAGACTTCGTCTTGTACTTTGCTCATATCATGCTTGGTAAAGTGGAGGGCTAGTGAAAAAGGGGAAGGCTCTCAGTCAGATGGTTTGACAGAGTGGCTGCAATTACAGGCTCAAGTATAGCAGTGACTGTGAGGATGGCCCAGGACTGGGCAGTGTTTCATTCTGTTGTTCACAGGGTCACTATGAGTTGAAACCAACTCGACAGCACCTAACAGTGTGTCAGGCATCATAAGTAATTTCCGCTGGGAGTCCTGAGATATCTGATGACATGAAAACAGACCTGGCCCTTTCCACGACTGGGAATGCTCTTCCTGGGCCAGACAAATCTGGGTTGAGTGACTTTAGGCAGGTTGCCTTCCCTCTCTGAACCTTGGTTTTCTCCTCTGTAAACTGGGCTCAAAAATATGGACTTGCAATTTTTTTTTTTTTTTTTCCTGTAAAGGGCCAGAGAGTAAACATTTAGGCTTTACGGATCCCATACTGTCTCCATTACATAATCTTTTTAAAATTTAATTTTCAACCCTTAATAAATGTAAAAACTGTTTTTAGCTCCTGGGCCAATTTGGGTCATGTGCCATAGTTTGCCAACTGCCAGTCAAGAACATGGTTGTTGGGAAGTCAAATGAGGCAAGGCATAATGACTGGGGGGGCCCAGACCCACTCTGTACCCCACCTTCAGCACAGGGATTGTGCAGGAGGTTCCTGTGGAGGCTGCGAAGGAAGTAGAAGGTCTTCCAGTCGGCCACCGGCTGGTTCCAGTCTTCTGTGATGAAACCCTCACGCAAACACTTGCGCTTCCAGACGGTTACCAGGTCGATTAGGTCGCGCCAGAGGCTGCAGACGGGGCGACAGCGCCGCAGCAGCTGGCGGGCGGGCACGTGGGTAAACAGCTCCAGCAGGATGTTCTCGGGCAGCTCGTTGATGTTCCCCACAGCCATGACTGGTGGCGTGTACCCACCCTCCTGGGGTTATCGAAAAGCGCCGCTTAAAGACCAGGCCCTTCCTCCAGGAAATGGTATTTGCAGCATTCCGTGGGAATGGTGGTTCCCATCCCAGTTCTGTTGTTTGCTATCTCATGAAAATCACACTGTGCCTCTCCAAGCCTCAGTTTACTCCTTGGTAAAATAGGCCATGAACAGTACTCACCTCTTGGGTTCAGCTGGAGAGTTCAACAAACCAGGGTCACACAGCAGGTGCGCAACCAAAAGCGAGCTCTGATTTTCTCACTGCACCTCAAAACGGCCTCTAGGAGGCTAAGGACCCGCCCAGTCACACAGGCAAAGGGGGCAAGGAAAGGAGCCCGAGTCTGCTGACTCTAGAGCCAGCCTTTTTCCATTAGGCCACTGTAAGCTGAGACTAACAAACTGCAGCTCCACAGAACACTCCGGCCTGCCCAGTACCTTCTCCAATCTCTCCCATCTTCAAGACTGGTGAGATGAAGAGGTGGGTGTGGGAGGTAATTATCATTGTCTCCAATGGAGAACCAAAGGGGCCAAAAGACTTTCTCAAACTCAGAGGGGAGATAATCTGCCAAAAAAGATTGGAGAGTGGGTGGGCGATGGGGGAGGGCCTTTGCGATGCTATCCCCCAGCCCCACGCCCGTGGCTGGCCTCAGCCCCAAGTCTCCCAGGGCACCCTCGCCTCCTCCTACCCCGCCATCGCCATACTATGCCTTTAAAATGCCCACCAAGGTCGGGCCTCTGGCCTCTGAGCCTCGCTAGGGAGATCCCAGCTTGGAGAAGCGCGGTGGCCTGGGCCTTGCCCGCGCCCAGCCTCCCTCTGTGCATTGAGGAACCGCTGGGAACCGACGAAACTACCCGCGGCCCAATCGGGCCGCCCCCACACCCCTTCTACTGGTCACCTTCTCCTGGCTGCAGCTAAGCCATCCGGCTCAGTGCCTCGCTGCACGGGCCTCGGGTCTCGGTCGCCGGCGATGCAGCCCCGCCCCTTGTGCAGGCCCCGGCCCCGCCTCCCGGCCCAGGCCCCGCCCCTCCTCGCCTTGCAGGAGAACGCAGGGCCGGGGATGCTCACCCCCAATCGCAATGTAGGAAAATTACCTGGGGGGCGGGAGGAGCCGCCTGCCGTCCCTTCCTCCGCAGAGGAGGCTGGTCCCGCACTCTCTGGGTGACCCAGACTCTCTTTGCCCCCCCACCGCGGCCTCTACCCCTCAGCCACCTCAGGATAGCACTGGAAGACGCCCCCAGTCGGCATCTCCTCAAATACAAAAAAATCGACCCCTGACCTTTCCCGGCCTCCTAGGTCCGCAGCCTTGAGCCTCCGGCCCACGGCTCCGACTGCGGGGCGTCCGGGCGCGGGGCCAAAGGCAGGGCGGGGCGAGGCGGCGGCCTTTAAGAGGCACGAACGGCTGAGCCCGACCTAGACGCGGGCAGCGCCTGGACTCGCCTCCGCCGCCGCCGCTCCTGCTGCCGGGGACTCGGCAGCCCCGCAGCGCTCCGGCTCCTCCTCTTGCGACCGCCCTCCGCAGCGATGGACGGAGACGGTGACCCAGGTAGCCGCCGCTGCCCGGACCCACTTGCTCCAGCCCGGGAAGGGAGACTCGGGCAGGCAGGAGAGTGCCGCAAAAAGGGGGGTCATCCGAGAGTGAGGGAGCCCCCCACCCTGAGACCCAGCATGGCAGACTTTCACCCAAGCAAGCATTTGAGACAACCCCCCAAAACATGGTTCTCACTCTGGGATATTGATCTGTCTTGAGAAAATAGCACTGGAGTCATTCCATGTTCCCACTTCCCCATCCCCCAGTTTCCGGGGGGTTGGGGGCTGGGACGACCAACTTCTTCCTTTTGCCAGCTGTGGTCTATGAGCTGCCTGAATCCCCGTGGGTTTCTCATGGTTACTGGCCTACACGCCAGCCCCCATTCCCAGCCTTCCTCCTGGGCTCCCTTGTTGAGGAGGGGCTGCCGTAGCCCAACAGGCTGGGACAGGGGTGAGAGGTGGGGGGCCAGCTCGGCCTGTGCTCAGGGCCCTCTGAGTCTGCCCAGTCATCTTTTCTTGCACTAAAGATCCCCTCAGCCCCCTAACTTCAACTGTGCTCACCGGGGTTGCCGGCTGAGTCAGGGTGGGAGCACCAGCACCCCTTTCTCCCCAGGCTCAGCTGAGGGTGGGCACTCCTTAGGGAAGGCACTGGGATCCTGGCAGTTCCCCCTCCCTCCCAGCCCTGAAAATTCAGCATCCCAGGCTCCCAGTCCGTGGTCCCGTTGCCACACCTTTTGTGGGGCCCCAGAATTGGCTCCTGCTTTTTCCCAGGGCCCAGCTATCCTCTGGACTCTGGGGTCCAATCCAGGTGAGTGACTCAGCCTTGGGAGGCAGCATCCAGGGGCCAGATAACTTTCCGACAGCAACAATGTGGGGAGTTGTGTGCAAATGCGGGGGGGGGGGGGGGTAATCGGATCTGGGACCTTGAGTGCCAGGCCCTAGGCCAGGAGAGGGGCTAGGTGAGGTACACCTTTTGGGGAGCATCAGGTGTCCACCGGGGCCAGTGCAGGGTAGGGAGGTGAGGACACTGGGCCCAGCTCCCCAGAGAGTGGTGTTGGGCAGTGCATGGGCAGGCAAGGTGGCTTCAGGAGCTGGCATTGTCCTCTCTGACTCCCCATTGTTCTGTTAAGCCTGTCTGGGCCTCAGTTTCCTCTTTGCCAAAAGGGAACAACACCTACCCCCATCATAAAGATGTGGCAAAAAAGAAAAAAAAGAACCCAAGGAGGGGTCGCTATGAGTCAGGTCTGACTCCGCAGGCAGCACGTAACAATAACAATGAAGGGAAAGAGCTGTGTTCAGTAATAAGATTCACTCAGTGTTTGCTGCAGGCCTTGGATGGCGTTCATTCTCCTTTGACCCCCTGCTGAGAATTTGCCTTTCCATCCCAGATATACTAAATCAGAATCCACTGGGATCTTTAAAATGTAGACTCTGATTCAGTATATCTGGAGTGGAGAGGCAAATTCTCAGTAGGGAGTGGAACCAGAAGGAAACTTGTTTGAAGCCCAGGTTTGCTGAGGACTCACTGTGTGCTGGCTGGGCTAAAAAAAAACCAGCCTCACTGCTGTGGAATCAGATTAGACTCATAGTGACCCCTCCTTGGGTTTTCAAGGAAGTATCTCAATGGAAGTAGATTGCCCAATCTTCCTTCTGAGGAGTGGCTGGTGGGTTTGAACTGCCAGCCTTCTAGTTACCAGTCAAATGCCTTAGGCACTATGCCACCAGAGCTCCAAGGAGGAAGTGAACGCAGACCCAGGTCTCAAGAGGTGGACTGTATGGGAGGGGCAGAAAATGTTGCATGTGAGGTTAAGGACTGGCAGCTCAGGGTCCTGGCATCACCCGGACTTGGGCCAAGGCCCTACCACCTGCCCCCTCCCAGAGTGCCTAGCCTACTTCCACATCTGCCCAACACTCCAGGGCCTCAGCATTCCCGGGCCCAGTCTTCAGGAACTCCTTATCCTAGGTCTGTGAGTGGTGACCTCCCCCAGCACCCAGAGTGGTTCCATCTCCTCCTCATTGTTCCCTCCTCCCCTCTCCCAGAGACACTGGGCCTGCAGTATCGGCTTATCTAAAGCTGTGATGGCCCAATTGGGGCCAGCTAGGATCCAGGACACAGCCCTGCCCGCAGCACCTCACATCTGCCCACTTCCATACAACTTAGAATGTCCTTGCTCCCTCTTTAGGAGCTTTGAGAATCAGCCACATGGTCCACATGGCCTGTCACAAAGATTACCCTCATTTTACAGCTGGGAACCTGAGGACCAGAGATAGGAAAGGAGTGTAGAACCATTCCTTCCCAAGCACCTGTTACATCTCCCTGTTAGATATGTGTGGTCTCCCCTGACCCATCTCCACATCACTCTGAAGTGGCTGTCTGGGGACCACTGCTGCATTGTGCCACCCCAACCTTTCCTCCCCTAATCTCACATCCACATTCCCTGACCTAATACTAGCAGTGTGACCTTCAGCAAGTCACTTCATACTGTTAAACCTGCATGTTTTCATTTGCAAAAATCCAAATCATAACCGTGCCTACTAGTTCCATGGATTACTTTCCCGAGGCTCTTGTGGTAGTGGCTAAAGGTGGCTCTGGAACCAGACTGTCTGGGTTCAAATTCAGACCCCAACCACTTCCTAGCCGTGCTATCCTAGGCCGTTTAACCTCTCTCTGCCTCAGTTTCCTCATCAGTGACATAGAGAAAGCAGAGCAGAAATAGCAGCAACCTCAGAGATTTTAAGTCCTCACAGATTTTATTAAAGAGTAAAAGAATTGAAATGCTTAAGCAGTGTCTGACCCTTGCTTAATGCCCAATAAACATAGCTGTTGGCAGAATGCCAGGCAGGGTGCCAGATGCCTGGTGCTGAGGGTGATACAGGGAGTTTCCCAAACCTGGGTCCTGCCCTCATGGGGCCCAGTCTAGTCAGGAGAGAGGTGTTTATCAAACCATTTCACCCTAGGATGGGTATGGGCTGTAAGGGGGGAAGCCCAGGAAGGCTTCCCTGAGGAGGTGACAGAGGTGGGCTCTCACAGGGTGGTTGGGAGGACTGAAATAGTTGTTGTGTGAAATGTTCCTTAGCCAGTTGCTGTCTGGTTGATTCCAACCTCTGATGACCCCATGTGTGTCAGAGTAGAACTGTGCTCCACAGGGTTTTCAGTAGCTGATTTTTGGGGAGCAGATCACCAGGCTTTTCTTCTGAAGTGCCCTCTGGGTAGCCTTGAACCTCCAACTTTTTGGTTAACAGCAAAGCACATTAACCATTTACACCACACAGGGACTCTGAAACAGTCCTTGTTCTGTGCCGTCGAGTCGGACCGACTCATAGTGACCCCTCCTTGGGTTTCCCAGGCAGTATCACTACGGAAGTAGATTGCCCCATCTTCCTTCCGAGGAGTGGCTAGTGGGTTTGAACCACCAACTTTCTGGTTAGCAGTCAAGTGCCTTAGGCACTATGCTACCAGAGCTCCTTGAAACAGTCCTTAGGTCAGTGCTATAGATGGATGCCATTAATAACCCTATTATCATTGCTGTTATCTACTCAGGTATGGGATTTATTGGTCCAGCAGGGAAACAGGCCTCTGAGGCTTTAGAATTCAGGGGCTGATCCTTGGGGCTCCTCTACTGGGTACCAATCTGTGAGCTGTCCGAACATGGGGGATGTAGATACCCACTGGCTGTGTGGAGAGGGACAGTCTGTGAGGAGTCACAGACTCCTCACCCGTCCGCGCCCACAGAGAGCGTGGGCCCGCCTGAGGAGGCCAGTCCGGAGGAGCAGCCGCAAGAGGCTTGCGCGGAAGAGGCGAGCGCGGAGGAGGACCAGCCAGAGGAAGAGGAGGCGGCGGCGTACCTCGAGGAGCTGCCGGAGCCGCTGCTGCTGCGTGTGCTGGCCGAGCTGCCGGCTGCGGAGCTCGTGCAGGCCTGCCGCCTGGTGTGCCTGCGCTGGAAGGAGCTGGTGGACGGCGCCCCCCTGTGGTTGCTCAAGTGCCAGCAGGAGGGGCTGGTGGGCGAGGACGGCGCCGAGGATGAGCGTGACCATTGGCAGCAGTTCTACTTCTTGAGCAAGCGGCAGCGCAACTTACTGCGCAACCCGTGTGGGGAAGGTGAGGGTGAGGGCCGCCCCGCCACCCGCTTTGCATAGGGCGCGCATTTCCCCATCTGTAAAAGTGGGCTATCTCAATACCAGCCTGTTTGCTTGGTTAAATGAGATAAGGCTCTGGGCACAGTGCCCAACAGAGCAGCCCCTATAAATACTGCCTGTTAAATACTCGCTGGTTACCTGCCGCCACCCCAGCGCCCTGGGGGGTCTCTTTCCCAGATCCTTCTGCCTTCACTGAGTGGAGGCGGGACAGATCCCCAGGAGGACCCACCCAAGAGGGAGAATGGTCACCATTCACACTCCTCCCTCATCATCTGTCCACCTTGGACACCGTTCAAGTACCTGGTCTCTCCAGCCCCACACCCTCCACGGGGATTCGTGACCAGGGAGGGGCTGTTGTTTCCCCACAGAGGTCTTGGAGGGCTGGTGTGATATAGAACACGGTGGGGACGGCTGGAGGGTGGAGGAGCTGCCTGGAGACTGCGGAGTAGAATTCACCCACGATGAGAGCGTCAAGAAGTTCTTCGTCTCCTCCTTCGAGTAAGGAGAAAGGGCGTTCAGGGGCTGGGGCGGGGGCTGTCCACTCCTTCTTGACCCCAGTTCTCCCAGGTGGTGTCGCAAAGCGCAGGTCATTGACCTGCTGGCGGAGGGCTACTGGGAGGAGCTGCTGGACACGACTCAGCCAGCCATTGTGGTGAAGGACTGGTGAGTGGTAGCCGGGCCAGGGCTGTTCAGAGGAGGGGTGGGCGCAAACTGGAGCCCGTGCCCTGCCCTGGGTGCAGCTGCCCCCACTCTAGGGGTCACACACACGTGGGCCATTGAGGGTTGAGAGCGTCGGAGTTTTCAGGAGCAAGTAGAAATCTACCTTCCGTTATGAGATGTAAATGTTGGCAACTTCATAAAAATATGCATGCATATTTTTAAAAAATTAAAATCAGTTTGCAGTTAAAAAAAGTGTGAGCTGGCTTTGGCCCCAAGATTGGGTCTGGTGGGCCTGGGTTTTAATGCTGGTATTTGGATCTTGGGAGAATCTCCTGTCAGGTCACTGTTTTCTTATCTCTGAAATGGGTTCACCAGTGAACCCCTAGCGTGCTGGGGTTGTTGGGCATACATGAGAACGTTTGTAGAAGGCCCAGTTTATGGTCTGCACCCAGCTGGGCCGAGGCCGCAGCCCCTCCGCCCCGTGCACCCTCCTTCCCTCGGGACAGGTATTCGGGCCGAAGTGACGCCGGCTGTGTGTATGAGCTTACGGTGAAGTTGCTGTCAGAGCACGAGGACGTGCTGGCTGAGTTCAGCACCGGGCAGGTAGCAGTGCCCCAGGACGCTGACGGAGGGGGCTGGACAGAGGTGAGTTGGAGAGGCTGTGATGGTGGGACAGGGACTAGATTCTAGGGGGCGGGGCGGGAGCAGGGTATTGGGGCTGGGGGGGCGGTGCGGCGTACTGGTGATAACACCCTGGCGGATCAGTGGTCGGGAAGGGCATTGGGATTGGGGGGGGGGGGGGCTGGAGGAGGCCACGGGACACCCAGCTTGACTTCCCTGCCCACCTCCCCAGATCTCCCACACTTTCACCGACTATGGGCCCGGCGTCCGCTTCGTCCGCTTCGAGCACGGAGGGCAGGACTCCGTCTACTGGAAGGGCTGGTTCGGGGCGCGGATGACCAATAGCAGCGTGTGGGTGCAGCCCTGAGTGACCCCTCCCCTCAGCTGCCGGGGAGGGCAGAGGCCGAGGGGTAGATGGGCCTTAATTTAGCTGGTAGCTTCCTCACTTTCCCAGCCCAATTTGTCTTCTGCCCCTTGCCCCAAGCTTAGCCCTCCTATGCGGGGAGAGAAGGTGTTCTGTTGGCATAAATCGACATGTATTTGCATCTGACTGGCAGCCCACTGCTAGAATGTAAGCTCTCAGAGAAGGGCGTGGGCCTGGGTTGGTTCTTACTGCTGTAACCCCTGCGCCTAGCACAGTGCCTGCCTCTAAGTGGGTGCTCAATAAATAACTGTCTGTCGAAGGAAGGAATGAATGAATACACGGATGAATGAACGGCCCCACCCCCACAAACACACTGGGCATCCTTTGCTCCCTTCCTTGTCTCCTGAGGGCCCCTGGCCCAAGCTGGAAAAATACTTGGTGGGGCTCCAGCTGCTCCGGTTTCCAGGGCCCTTGGGCCTGTTCGGAGCCAGCCGAGCCAGGACCGCAGGGCTGGACAAAGGCCGGGATTGTGAGGGCCAAGGAGGGGCAAGCAGGGCCTGGCGCCTGACGACACCCAAGCTGCCTGAGGGTGGGGGTGGGGGTGCCCTCCAGGCCTCTCTGCCCAGATCTTATTCCAGGCCTGGCTGCCCTTTCCCCCCCTTTCCCCTCCCCCTGCAGGATGGTGGTGATGGTGCGTGTGCCTGGTCTAAGATATGGATTCTACTGGGTTTGGGTGAAGGCAAGTGGGATCAAAAGTGGGCACAGAAGGGGTCAGCAAGGGTCCCTCTTGGTTCAGGCCCACTCTTGGCCTCCTCTCTGGTCTAGGATTGGCTTGGACAGAAGCCATTAGCATCTAGTCTCTCATTGGCCAGTTTCCAAGCTCTGCCCAACTGGTGCCCTTTAAGGTGTCCTTCTCCTATTGCTAACCCCTGGGGAAGAGGAGGGAATGTGAGCGTGTTGTGCCAGGTTCTCTGCCTCCCAGCAGCCCTCAGACCCAGCCTGTTTCCTGGACTCCCAGCTGCTGGCCCTGGGGGTGGTTGAAGATCTGGAAACATCTGCCCTCCTCTCCCCAGATGGTGACCCCTGAAATCACCATGCCGCTCTAACATGCCTTTGAGTCTGGGGCCTGATGCCGGTCAGGTGGGATTGCACAGTTCAGGGTGCTGGGCCTGCCTGCAATTATTGCTTTGTCCATTCATTCATTCACTCCAGTTCCTAGAGCCATAACTTTCAACTGGGCCCTGAAGTTATAGGAGTAATACTCCCACCCTGGGAAGAGTCAGGGTCTGGCCACATGAGGATGGATCCCCCAGTCTGATGGTGGAGGCCCAGCCCCTGCCCTGAGGCATTTTGAGTCCAAGGGTGAGATAAAGCCCTGACCTCCAAGAACACTTGGTCTCCTGGATCCTTCTTTAGGGATTTCCTGGTCTCATGGGGGAGGCACAGCTCACACTCACATTAGTTGCCAGTCAGGGGAAGCGTTGCCTTGCTCTGGGAACTCAGTCTGATGAGGAGTCAAGAAAGAAGAGACCCAGTCTCCACCCTCCACCTCTCCTTCCCAGGAGCTGTATAAAGGCAAGGCTGTGTGCTCCGGGACAAGGAGCCGGGGTGGGCATGTGGGGAGCCAGATGGGAGTGTGGAGAAGCACCGGAGCCTGCACCGGGCCACAAGAGGAGGCTGGATGCAGACAGGTGATGGCAATGGAAGTGAGGGTCAGGAGTCTGGCTCTGGGTGCCTTCAAGGACTGGATGTGGAAGACATGGAAGGTCATAAGCGCCCTGAGTTTGAGGTGCTCACCAAGGGGCCTGGGAGCTGAAGTTAGGTGTGGGCTAGGGGCTAGAAATGCAGAACCAGTAGCTGCGGTGTTGTGGCCAGAACCAAGGCCAAGGGTACTGCGAGGGCCAGGAGCAAGTCTGGAGTGAGGCAGGAGACGGTCCACAGAAATGCTGACTTTTGGGGCCAGGATGGGGGCATCGGGTGCAAGTCCAGTGAGGCCACCTCCAGCCAATGGCTTGGTCTCAGAGGAAGGAACCAGAAGCCAGAGGACAGGTTCTCTGCCTGAGGCTGCTGTGACTTCTCCCCAGGGCACAGACTCAGAGGAGACCTGATGGGCTCGGTAAGCAGGCCCGTTGGAGACACCCACAGTATTTAGCTTGGAAAGACTGCAGTTGGCAAGGGGCTGAAGCTTCCGGAGGCTTGAAGGCTCACGGTGCACTGGGCATGTCCTGCCATCAGAGAGCATATCTATAGGAAATAGCACCTATGGCGATTGGTTTGAACTTGCTCAATGATCTCTCACAGCAAGCAATGGAAGCTGCCAAGGCGAATAGAAACTGCCCATTGGCGCCCTCCCTCCAAATGGTGCCCGGGGCACAGGGCATACCTGCCATACCCTAGATCCATCTCGGCCTGCCGCGGTCATAACCCATCAAGGGGTGGGGAAAGGGATTATTATCCTTCTTCTGTGCATGAGAATACTGAGGACAAAAGACTTTACTGACAACTGACAAACAGTAATTGAAGCATGAGTTCTCACCCAGCTGCACCTGGCACCTGCTCTTAGCCTCTCGGCTTCATTGCTCCAGATCCTAGAGGGCAGAGCAGGGGCCCTTGAGTGAACCTGTTGCTGTCAGGTTGACCCTGACTCATGGGGATCCCTTGTGTGTCAGAGTAGAACTGTGCTCCATAGGATTTTCAATGGCTGATTTTTTGGAAATAGATTGCCAGGCCTTTCTTCCAAGGCTTCTCTGTATGGACTTGAACCATCAACCTTTCTGTTAGCAGCTGAGCACTGTTTGCATCACCCAAAGGCTCTGAACATTATGTTGTTGTTGTTATGTGCCATCGAGTCGGACCCGATTCATAGTGACCCCTTCTTGGGTTGCTAAGGCAGTATCACTATGGAAATAGATTGCCCAACCTTCCTTCTGAGGAGTGGCTGGTGAATTTGAACTACCAACCTTCTGGTTAGCAGTCAAGTGCCTTAGGCACTACGCTACCAGAGCTCCCCTGAACATTATAGGAAGGCAAAATATCAGCTTCCTTTAAAGCAAAACCTAAGGAGCTGTGGCAGTGTAGTGGTTAAAGTATTTGGCTGCTAACCAAAAAAAGTTAATGGTTCAAGCCCACCAGCTGCTCTATGGGAGAAAGATGATGAGTCTGCTTCCATAAAGATTTACAGCCTTGGAAACCCTATAGGGGTTGCTGTGAGTTGGAATACACTGACTCCATAGCAATGAGTTTGGTTTTGGAGTTGATGTGTTGTCCAGCAGGGGGAACCCTAGATCCTCTCAGAAGAGTGAGATGGCTGACCAATTGGCTGTCTCTGTCAGAGGCACGCATGCATCAGCTGGGGAGGCCTACATTTCCCCTGAGATCCTTTCCAGTCAATCAGATACTTGTTGAGCACATATTATGTGCCCTCCTGGAATTTACATTCTAGATAGAGAAACAGAAACACAACCTAATAATGAACAAGATAATTACCAACATGATGTAGCCTTTAATATACATTTCAGGCACTATTATAAGCTTTATATATACTGAATTCTCATAAGAACCTTAGAAAGTGGGAACTATTATCGTTCCTATTTTTACAGATGAGGAAACTGAAGCACAGAGAAGTTAAGCACTTTGGGTGGGGCCACACACGTGGTGGGAGTGGGCTTGTACACAGCCACTGCAGCATTTGACCTCTGTAATATAGTAAACAGGAGCTCTGGTAGCATAGTGCCTAAGGCACATGACTGCTAACCAGAAGGCTAGCGGTTCAAACCCACCTGCCACTCCTCGGAAGGAAGATGGGGCAAATCTACTTCTGTAGTGATACTGCCTCAGAAACCCAAGGAGGGGTCGCTATGAGTCGGGTCCGACTCGACAGTACATAACAACAATAACAATATAGTAAACAAAATGGAGCTGAGGGTAAGTGTTACTTCGGGTAAGGTGACTGGGAAGGACCTCTCTGAGGAAGTGACGTTTGATGAATGATGAAGAGAACCCAGCCCTCCAGATATCCGAGGAAAGAGCATTGCAGGCAGAGGGATCAGAAAGTGTAAAAGCCTTGAGGCGAGAATGGAAAGGCGGCCAGCATGGCTGGAGCTCAGTGAGCAAAGAGAGAAGTGGTTTGACGAGGTTAGAGATGTAGGCAGGCAACCCTGAGAGTTTTCCGAGCACTTACTGTAAAAGTTTGGCCAAGTAAAATGTTGCTGAAGATATATTGACAGGGAACTTCCAGCAATGCAAGCTGGATTCAGAAGGGACGTGGAATGAAGGATATCATGGCTGATGTCAGATGGATCTTGATTGAAAGCAGAGAATACCAGAAAGATATTTACTTGTGTTTTATTGACTATGCAAAAGCATTCAATTGTGTGGATCATAACAAATTATGGGTAACATTGAGAAGAATGAGAATTCCAGAACACTTAATTGTGCTCATGAGGAACCTGTACATAGACCAGGAGGCTGCTGTTTGTACAGAACAAGGGGACACTGCATGGTTTAAAATCAGGAAGGGAGTGTGTCAGGTTGTATCCTTTCACCATACTCAGTCTGTATGCTGAGCAAATAACCTGAGAAACTGAACTGTATGAAGAATGCAGCATCAGGATTAGAGGAAGACTTATTAACAACCTGTGATATGCAGATGACACAGCCTTGCTTGCTGAAAGTGAAGATGACTTGAAGCACTTACTGATAAAGATTATTAAAGACTATAATAGTCTGTAGTATGGATTACATTTCAACATAAAGAAAACTAAAATCCTCACAACTGGACTGATAAGCAGCATCATAATAAATGAAGAAAAGTTTGAAGTTGTCAAAGATTTCATATTGCTTGGTTCCACAATCAATACCTGTGGAAACAGCAGTTAAGAAATCAGATGTTGTATTGCATTGGGCAAATCTGCTGCAAAAGACCTCTTTAAAGTGCTGAAGAGCAAAGATATCTCTTTGAGTACTAAGGTGCACCTAACTCAAGCCATGGTGTTTTCAGTTGCCTCAAGTGCATGTGAAAGCTGGACAATGACTAAGGAAAACCGAAGAAGAGTTTATGCTTTTGAGTTGTGGTTTTGGTGAAGAATACTGAGAGTACCATGGACTGCCAGAAGAACTAACAGATCTGTCCTGGAAGAAGTGCAGCCAGAGTGTTCCTTGGAAGCCAGGATAGCCAGATTTCATCTCTCCTACTTTGGTCATGTTGTCAGAAGGGACCATTCCCTGGAGAAGGATATTATGCTTGGTAAAGTGGAGGGTTGGCAAAAAAGGGGAAGGCCCTCAACAAGATGGATTGACACAGTGGCTGCAATGATGGACTCAGGTGTGGCAAGGATTGTGAGGCTGGCACAGGACTGGGCAGTGTTTCGTTCTGTCGTACATAGGGTCACTGTGTGTCAGAGCTAACTCGATGACACCTAACAACAACAATTTGCTCTGCCTTGGGGCTGGGGCTAGGGGACTAGATATCAGCAGCCTGCACTCTAGTTGATGAGAATGAATTCCCTGAGAGTAACAGGATGATGATGATGATGATGATGATGATGACAGTTGGCATTTGGTGAGGCCCTATGGGTGCCAGGTCCGTGCTAGGCACACAGGCTCATTTAATCTGCTCAGAGCCCTGTCTGGTGGTGGTTGTACCTGCCATTGAGTTGTTTTCGACTCATGGGGACCCCATGCACAGTGAAAAAAATGCTGCGCAGTCCTGTGCCATGCCCATGAGTTGCAGATCAGACCATTGTGATCCATGGAGTTTTCATGGGCTGATTTTCAGAGTTAGGTTGCCAGGCATTTCTTCTTAGTCTGTTTTAGTCTGGAAGTTCCACTGAGACCTGTTGAGCATCATACCCCAAACCAAATCAAACTCTGCCGTCAAGTTGATTCCAACTCATAGTGACCCGCATTGGGTTTCCGAGGTGGTAAATCTTTATGATTTTGAGTTGTGGTGCTGGTGAAGAATGCTGAAAGTACCGTGGACTGCTAAAAGAACTAACAGGTCTGTCCTGGAGGAAGTGCAGCCAGAATGCTCCTTGGAGGCGAGAATGACCAGACTTCGTCTCACATACTTTGGTCATGTTGTCAGAAGGGACCATTTCCTGGAGAAGGATGTCATGTTTAGTAAGGTGGAGGGTCGAGGAAAGAGGAAAAGGCCCTCAACAAGATAGACTGACACAGTGGCAGGGGTGATGGGCTCAAGTACAGCAATAGTCATGGAGCTGGCTCAGGACGGGGTGGTGTTTCGTTCTGCTGTGCATAGGGTCGCTGTGAGTCGGAGATGACTCAAAGGCACCTAACAACAAATCTTTATGGTAGTACGTTGCCCAGTCTTCCTTCCGCAGGGTGGCTGGTGGAGTTTGAATCATCAGCCTTGTCGTTAGCAGTCAAATGCCTTAGGCACTACACCACCAGAGCTCCTTGTTTAGCATCATAATCACACACAAACATCCACCAACAGCAGTGGTGGCTGCACAGAGGTGCATTTAGACAGGTGGGGCTGGCTGCATCAAGCAGCCTCGGACTCACTATTCTTGCTGCTGGGACAGAGAATTATTGTGATTAACAAGCCAGGCCCTTAGGCAAGATAAGAAGTTACCTTTGAAAGGCCCCACAAGTGTGACCAGTTGAAAAATGCTAATAAAACTGCTGAGTTGTCCTTCAAGTATCTCACCAGGTGCAGGGCTTGTGTGGTGAAATTCAACTTGTAGGACAAAGTGACCTTCCACCAGAGGTAGTAGGGAACAGGAATCCCTTGCCTGGACTTGAAGCAGGGTCCAGAGACATCACACATATGCAACATCCCAGAATAAGTCATGACAAGCTTTCCAGTAGCCTTCACGATGGGTTCCATCCTTGT